AACATCATTGGGAACTCCATCTCCCTGATGTCATTTGTCCTTGCTCCTCACCTCTCTGGCTCAGCAAACCAGCTGGTTTACTCACCCAACACATATATCCTGAGCATCGATTCCATGCCAGACACTGCTCAGTGCTGGGAATACAAAGGCTAGCCAACACGTCTCTGTCAGTGTGAGATTTCCAGTCCGGTGGGACAGGCAGTAAGTCAACTAATAAACGTGTAAATTCAAATTGCAGTAAAACTATGGGAAAAATGAGTAGGTGATAGAATAGAGGATTCAGAAGTAAGAGTATTAATTGGGGATCTTAATTAGGTATGATGCTCAGGCGAGGATCCTAAGAGGTAAATTTCAAGCTGAGTCCATTGTGGACACACTTGGCTCTCTTCCACTCAAGCAAATGCTCCACTTGATACTGAACCTAATATGTTTCTGTTCCAATGACACATTCCTGGAAGGGAGTAGTGGGTTGATCCAGCTTAGTTATAGTATCCACCATGGTCCAATCAAATATGGGCAAATTACATAATGAAAGCATGACTTCCATTGGCTCACTGATCTTGGCGAGGGCCGGGGCAGTTTTTAGGCAGTAAACGTGTAGACTGGGGAAGAAATCTCCAAATAGTGTTCACCCCATGCCATGTAGGAGCACCAGCTACTGCCCATGTAGCATATCCATGGTTGAGGACCACAGCGGAGCGTGTCTGCCATCATCTGCCACAGCTGTACTTCACACAATGTCATGGTTGGGACAGGGGGTACCCCATTAGAGGAACCCAACTGAATGGGTTATGACCCATTCAGAAGCTTAACATCACATGAACACAGGTGAAAATATATTGGGTTGTGAACAACACGACATGCTGGGTAGGGGGAGGGCACTAGGCACTAGATCTCCTGCACCATATTTCAGATCACCACTCAGTTGAATCCCTGCTTATAGCTGGAGGGTTGGAGGGACTCAGGGCTGGATCCCCTGCCCTGATCCTCATCTTCTCTTGGTTGGGGAGACTATGAGGGGTATAGCTTGAATAGTAAGGTGTATTTTAGGCAAGTGCTTGGTCTGAAAGTGCACGGTTGCCGCTCATGCTCCAGCACCATTAACCTCTCCCCACACAAGCACCCGTGCCTCAGCCTTCCTTAACTCTCCCTTGGAAGAGGCCTAAAAGCAAAAGCAAGGTGCTTCCCCTGGACCTGGGAGAGAGACTTGTTCAGCTTCCTTGTGGTTTTCACTCCTAACAGATGGGTGCACTTAATTATGCCCAAGTTCAAGATCTCCTCCAAGATAGACTTAAAAAAAATGCTTCCCAAGATGGGCATCAGCAATGTGTTTACTACAGCAGCAAACTTCTCAGGCATCACAGAGGAGGATTTCCCAGCTATTTTTGAGGTGAGTAGAGCTATTTCTAGAGTTTCTGTTTTATCCACAACAGTTCTGAATGAAAAAACTTAAAAAAATAGTTATAAATATTATCTGCCCGGGTCCATTGGCTTTTGAGATTCTTTGGTCATTCAGACATTCATAAGCAATTGCGTCAAGCACTTTTGGAGGCTCTGGAGATAAAGTTGTGAAAGAGCTGAAGCCCTACCGTCATAGATGTTCCATTCTCCTGTTAGGGTCAGACAGTGGACATACCAACAAATAGATATGTACCATGTCAGCCTGTGATACGTTCTGTGAAGGCAGGAAAGGCAGAAACCAAACAGCATGCTGGGGTACAGTGGACTGGCTTGCGGGGGTGCTGGCCAGGAAAGTTGTCAGGCTGGGTTGACCTTCAGGCAGAAGCCTGAAGAAGGAAAGAAAAGAGCAAGGAAGCACATCGAGAGGACGCATGTTCAAGTGCATCCTGAGGGGGATGTGGGCTGGACATCCTCGAGGAACCCCAAGGAGGTCCACACAGCTAGCATGGTGCATGAGACCGAAATAGGTGGCCGGTGAGGTCAGAAAAGAGGCAGCGTGGGCCACATGGGTCTGCAGGTCCTGCACAGGCCCGGGGGCGGTTCTGACGGACATGGGAGACCACCGAGGCTGACATGAACTGACATGTGTTCTATAAAAGCGATGCTCTGTGGTGTGCAGGAAGTGTGGCCCATAACCCGGGTGAGGCATAAACGCGGTTTGACAGGGTATTGGTGGGAGTGTTAGCGGTGGTGAAGAGACCCTGTGTGACTTTTGAAGACAGAGCTGGGGTGCAGGGAAGGAAATGTCAGAGAGGGCAGCTCTGTAGTTGGAGCCTGGTCCACGCTGGAGCCAGCCCCAGATAGGAAAGACGAAGGAGCCGCGGGGGGTGTGTATGAGCAAACAGGGACTGGCTCTGCCAACTGGAGATGCCTGCAAGGCATCCAAATGCCTGCCATGGAGCATTTGTGGGCACAAGGGGCTGCCTCTAATTACTCCACCAAGGTCACAGACCGGCTGGCTGCTTGGTGGCCACCCCATAACACACTGCCCAGGACAAGCCTAGTGATCATAATCCCTCATCACGGTGCAGCACTTGATAGATTACAAAGCAATTTTTCAGGGTTCTCTCACCTGATTCTCCCAAAGACCTTGGGGAGGGGACAGTGTCTGTTCTCGAACTGAGGGAGGAGCAAGCTGTCACTCATGGAGGATACCGGATGGAGTTCCCAGGGCTGGGACCCGGCTGGGATGCAGTTTTTCTGGGGTCACAGGTTTCCCTACTCACAGAATCCCCTGGATGAGCACAACTGAGTGCTGGGGGGCCGGGCAGGGGCTCAGGGATGCCGTGCCCCTCACAGCACAGGAGCCCGGTCCCCAGAGGCCGGGCAGAGCCTCCTGCAGATCAGAGGGGGACAAGCTCTTCCATACAGACAGAAAAATTTCCGTGCTGGGATGGAGACAGGAAAAACCAGCCCCTTCCCTCCCTCCCTTTCTCTCTACCACCACATCCTTCTTGAAAGCATTTGAGAGGCCCACCCTCAGTGATTCTATAGGATCTTTTCCTAAGCCTTCAGACCACCCAGGTTTGCTCTGAGTTCTAGTCCCCTTTCCTCTCATTTAAATACCTAAACTCCTTGAACTTTCTGCCTGCACTGGGGGAGGTGGAGCTCGGCAGTTAGTGTGGACCCTGTCCTGAGGCATCTGGATCTGACAGCTGAGACCCTCAGGTGATTATCCAGGAATGGGAGCCAGCATTTCCCCTCCACCCCCCACCATGCCCAGAGCTGAGACAAGACCTGTTTCTCCCCAGGCGATACATGAAGCCACAATGGAGGTGAGTGAGGAAGGCAGGATGGACACCCCCAAGGACATGGACTTGAGCAACGCCATCCCCTGGCATACACATGCAGCAGCCCCCTTGGTCGTGAAATTCAACAGACCCTTCTTCCTGTTTGTGGAGGATTGGATGACTCAACGAGCAATCCTCATGGGCAAAGTCTTCAACCCCATAGCTGAGTAGAGATGGGGCCGGGCTCTGCGGAGCTGGAATTCAGCAACTCCTGAATAAAGTGAATAAAATTCACTGCTATTGAATCAAAAGAAGCTGAGTCTGAGACGTGTGGGCTGAGAATGGAGTTGGGGTGGGTCATTGCTGGTCTTCTGTCCTGGGAACAGGGCAGGATAAGGAGAGGTGGGGGGCCTGCTAGGGACACTTGGCAGGTGTACCTTCTGTCCTGAAGAAGGATGGATATATGCAGGGAAGCGATTCTGAGAGGCGCGAGCAGGGTCTCTTCGGGGGGGGGTGCTGTCTTATTGGCCTTGCTTCCTGCCCAGCTGGTAGTCAGAGCCTGTCGGCTCATCGACACAACAAGAGCCATATAACTCCACCAGGCAGCCCCGGGCAGGGAGCTGGGTGGGCAGAGGCAGGGTCCCGTCACAGAGAGGAGCACCCGCAAACATCAAACCTCAGTGGGCCTCTGTGTGTCCCCCCAGCTCCATGGGGAAATAGGAGGGTACCTACGAAGGCAGAGACCCCCAAATATTTTGGCAGCACCTTCTCTGTCCAGACCCCTTATGAGAAAGTTAGTATTGCCCCCATGGGATAAGAGGGGAACATGGACAAGATTTGAAGAGCCAGGAGGATGGTCATGCACAGAATGGGAGGGGTGTGTGTGTGTGGAGGAGAGGCTAGGACTCCACCTTGGAATCACACCAGCTCATTGCCAGAGTCAGGATAAAGCCTATCCTGGCCTCCGCCACTAAGGCACCACACGTTGGGGCACTGAGGTCTGTGAGGTCGCACAGCTCCTCGGGACATTTAGGCAGCCGGGCTTTGCTCAGCCTACGGCACTTTCATGGATCACTGCTCACTCTCCTTTAGCATGTGGGACACCAGGCCCCCACCATCGTCCATGCTCACCCTTCAACATACTGGGCATTAGGCCTGAACAGTATCCATGAGCGCCCTTCAGCATGAGGGACGCTACACTCCGGCTGTCCTCCATTAGACACCATCTACTCCATGGGACATGAGGCCCTCAGCGCACCCTCTCTGCTTTTGCAGTGGATCTGCTTGGACATGAAACATGCACAAGTGGGGATGTCCAGGCCTTCCTCCATCTGCTTATGCTGTGGACACCACTTCCTCCGCATTTTCTAGAACAAACTACCTTGTCGCTCATCTCTCAGGGGAGGGTCTTGTGCCAGGGTCTAGCATAGAATCCAAAATGTGAGACTCCCAGAGTTGGTTCTAATTTCCTTCAGTCATTTTCTTTTCTCTGCACGTGGACAATATTTATTTAAAGTATCAGTAAAATATGGGAACGATAAGAATCAGTAAAACATTGGAGCATCGCCACTCACTTTGCGAGCAGGTAATTTAACCTCACAGAGCCTCAATGCCCCGTCTGTAAGGTGGGGATGACCGTGCCTCCTCACATCCGTTCTCTGTCCCATCACTGTGTGCATTCAAGGTGAACAGCAAGGCAGTTCAGTTCACGTGTGTTATGAAATGATGGTCACAACGGGTGGGGTCAGCAACTCCTGGTCTTATCGCTAGGGTGACCTGGAAAGAACACTGTCCAGATCACAGGAAACATCACGGACGGGTCAGCAGCAACCACACTGCGACCTCTGTCATTGTCACCAGTACCGGAATATCTTCAAATGGAGTGGGGCCCAGAATCACAATCCACTCTGATTGTAGGACGGGCAGGCAGGACAGATCCTTCCAAACAAAAAAAGTCCCTTCCTGGTGGCTGCACATTGCTTTTGTCCAGTTCCAGGAATTGAACCGGCAAATATTGGCTGGGCCGCCCTGATCTTCAAACACCATTTCCTGTGGGTAGGAGGCCACGCAGTGCTGAAGACCCGGGGCCCCCAGCCCAGGGAGCTTGCTGTGAGTACCGTGCTTATGCCTGAAGTGCGGGCTTGCGGGTGTGAGGGGTGCTCCTCTCTCTCTCTCTCTCCCTCCTTCTCTCTCTTTCTCCCTCCTTCTGTCTCTCTTTCTCCATCTCTCTCTCTCTCTGGCTTTGGCAGCAAGGATGGGAGAACTGAGTCCCCCAAAGGAAAAATGCCACGATATACTGCTTCTAAGGCTTTAAGTGCGAACTTCAGGTTTTAAACCTTTTATGGAAAACTTGGCCATCAGAAATGCTGAGAGAGGAACTCCCAGGACTCCTGGTGGTTAGATAAGAACATGGGACAATACAACCCAAAGCAGAGGACAACATTGCCGTAGCAAATTTACTTGAGACACAGTTGTAGCAAAAGGCTCACACTTCAAGAGCCCTTGTCTAGAATCTGAATCATGCTCCTGCCACTTAACAGCTGCTCATCCTGATCCTGAGTCCAGTTTCCCTGTTGGCACAGCAAGGGTGCTAATCCCTGTGTGTTAAGGTTCTCACAGGGATTCCATTAAGGGACATGAATCAGCTATCTCTCGACAAACGCACCTCTGGCATTTGTACAAGACCATTCTTCACTGCATATGACTGCTCTGGCATTTCCAGAGCTGGCTCTCTCCCACCAAACCCCAGGAGCAGCCCCTGCTCCAGTCTCTGAGCTGATCCCAAATTCCATCCCCTTGCATTTGAGAACACATCTGGCTGGGAGCCTGTGATACAATGGATCTAATATCCCCGCACAAAATAAACAACATATGGGAATATTATCATTAATTAATGGAGTTCTTAGTTTTCAACTGGGATCTTTCTAGAAAAGAAAGAAAGAAAGAAATCGGATGTAATTATACCTGACCTATATAGAAAGGGGTGGAAATCCACATTGCATGCTTCCTACGTGTCAGGTGCTTTCCACACCATATGCCTTATAATCCTTCAGTGCCCCCCACCCCGGAAGGTAGGCATTATCCTTTGCATTTTGCAAATGGGGACACCGCGGGTCAGAGAGTTTCCTTTGCGCAGACCCCACAGTGAGATACTGTGAGGTCTAATTCAAACCCACGCCCTCTGACTTTCCATCCTCTTTGGCAAATAAGCCTTCTGCAAGTCTGGGAATCGTTAGGGTGCAGACGGGTAAACATGGTGAGGTCAATGGGATGAAAAGAATAAACCAGAACCAGTTTTATTACAGCTGTATTTCTGAATTTCCCCAGGAGCAGGCCGATTTTTAAATTGTTCTGCTTCCCATTGTGAATGGAACCTGTCGTGAGGGGAGCCCACCAGAGCTCTGGGGGAGGGAAGGAGGAAGGACATGGCCTTGGGAAATGGCCCGCAGTACTTTGCTCAGCAAACTGTTTCCACATAACTGATAAGCAGCTGTGTTCGTCCCTCCCAACAACTGGCCTGTGGGGCTTTTAGGGCCCCGGGTGCTATAAACCATCTACAAAATGTGATCTCTCCCATACCACCATGGCGTCTGTAATTGATCCAGAGGTCATTGCTTTGGGCAAAGTGTGGCAATTAAGACACAGACGTTATCAAGACAGACAAATGGCAAGGATCGGGCGGTCAGCAGTGGAAGGGTCAGTTCTGAAGGGGACAAGGGACGGCACTCTCCTTCCTGGGGACATCCGGGTGGCCGTGTGACAGTGCATGCTCTATGAGGACATGCGGAGGTGTGTGTGTGGAGACCCTGAAAGGGACAGGGGCACCAGACAGGGGGCAGAGGGAGCAGAGATAAGCCATGTCTTCACTGCAGTTTCACCTCGAGCTGGAGCTGCCTTTCCTGCCCTGAGGAAGGAGTCTCCTGCTCCTGCACCACTTTGACTCCCTAGAGGCAGAAGGCTTTGCCGGCACATTTTGTGACCTAAAGTACTAGAGAGATAGGATTCATTTCCTAGGGCTGCCCCAACAAAGCACCACAACCTGGGTGGCTTCAAAGACAGAAATGGATTGTCCCACAGTCGTGGGGGCCAGAAGTTGGAGATCCAGGTGCTGGTGGCAGGGCTGATTCCTTCTGAGGCTGGGAGGGAGAACGCGCTCTAGACCTCTCCCCGAGCTGCCGGGGGGTTGCTGGCGATCTCTGGCATCCTTGGTTCTAGAAGCATCACCTTGATCTCTGCCTATCTTCACAGTGCATTCTCCCTGTGTGCATGCCTGTTCCCAAATGTCCCCTTTTTAGAAGGACACTGGTCTTACTAGATTAGGGCCCATCTAATGACTTTGTCTTAACCAATTACACCTCAACTGCCCCATTTCCAAACAAACTTTCAGAGATACTGGGGATTCGAGCTTCAACATATGAATTTGGGGGGTACACAACTGAACCCTTGACAGATGTCTTCCCTGAACCTCTGCATCAATTAAGATAGAGGTTTCAGCGGCTGCCTGTGACAAGAGGTGCTTGAGATGACAAGTTGGATGGAAACAGAGCTGATCCGTCCTCCCAGGCTCCATCCACCCCTCATGGGGGGCCCCCATCCACCAGTCCCCCATGACTCATCATCACCCCAACACTCGACCTAATGAAAAATCAGAAGAGGAGAGAGCACTCCCCTTTCTTGGAGGATCTGACCCAGGAGCTGCACACACCATCCTCTGCCCTCCAATTGGCAAGAGTGACGTGAATGGCCACACCTGGGTGCTAGCAAGGCCCAGCCTCACTCACTGTCACCATGTCCTGAGCATCTGCTCCGTAGCCACCCCCAGTCCCTGAAAGTTAATGAATGATTCAAAGAATGCCTGGAAAGAAGAGAGAAAAAAGAAAAAGGAAGGAAGGAAGGAAAGAAGGAAGGAAAGAAGGGAGGGAGGAACGGAGGAAGGAAGGGAGGGAGGAAGGGAGGGAGGAGGGAAGGGAGGAGAGAGGGAAGAAGGGAGCATAAACAATGGAAGTTTGTTTTTAGAGCCCAGAGTCCTTTTCTCAACAAAACCTCATAGACAGATGATCAATATGTCAAGCAGGTTTAGGGCTACGGCTCAGTCTATAGCCTCATCCTCTGCAGGGCCCCTCATGACCCCTGTGTGGGGTACAGTTCAGATGTGAGGCTCACCATGTGAGCAATCGGGAGCGCTGAAGTTACTTATGAAGTAGTATGACATGTTCAACATCTTGTTTTCAGGGGATGGGTCCAGCCTGGCTGTGGCTGCTGGGAGCAGGGATCCTGCCCTCTGTCCACTGTCAGACCTTTCCTGCCCACAAAGGTAGGAGTCTGGGGATCCCTCAAGCCCCCCGTGATCAGCTCTCCGCGCCAGCCCCTGCCTACCACAAAATCACACCCACTGTCACCAACTTTGCCTTGCGTTTGTACAAGCAGCTGGCCACGGAAACCTCAGGAAACATCTTCTTTTCCCCCGTGAGCATCTCTACCTCCCTGGCCCTGCTCTCTCTTGGGGCCCAGGCTGACAACCCAGATCAGATCCTGGAGGGCCTCGGCTTCAACCTCACAGAGACCCCAGAAGCTGACATCCACCGGGGTTTCCAGAGCCTCATCCACACCCTTGACCTGCCCAGCCCCAAACTTGAACTAAAAGTGGGCAACTCCTTGTTCCTGGACAAGCAACTAAAGCCTCAGCAGCATTTTTTAGACACTATCAGGGAGCTGTATGGAGCTTTTGCTTTCTCTGCCAACTTCTCAGATTCCACCACGACCAGGAGGCAGATTAATGAGTATGTGAGAAAGCAGACGTACGGGCAGGTGACGGACTGCCTCCAGGAGTTCACGCAAGACACGCTCATGGTTCTCTTGAATTACATCTTCTTCAAAGGTGAGGGCTGGCTCGGGCAGAAATACCGCCACCTCCACCATCTGCAGTCCTGCCCCTGAAAGCCACCTGTCTTCAAGTCTTGTAGCTGTCCCTTTGGGTAGTTACCTCTGTATATTTACATAACCTTCCTGTAGGACTACTCGATTTATCAATATTTGTTTTCTCTTGCCATGTTTCTTCCATTCAGTTTTTATTCTGATTTTTTTCTGTTAGGCATTCAATCATACTCTTTTAGGAATAACCCCCTTTTTAGAAAAATCTTACTTTTTATATTAACATCTATTTTGAACATAGAAAAATATACAGAGAGTGATATAAAACCACCATATTCTCCCCCACCAGGAACGAACAAATATTAACATTTTACCATTTGCTTCAGATTTTTATTTTTTTAAAGAATACTGTATTGCAGGGAGAGGTCAGTTCCTTTTTAAGCCTTCCCTGGTCCCATTTCCCTCCTTCCATCCCTCCCCAGAGGCAACCACTATCCTAGGGGTGGTGTGCATCCCTTTGCCTGTGTGCTCCCTCCATGAGCACATTAAGTGTCCATAATCCCATCTGATACAATGTATGTGTTCTAAATTTTATGAGAATGGTATGGAACTGTACAGATGATCTTGTACTTAATGTGTTAGTATCCTCACCACATCTTTTTTTCACTTAAAGATTTATTTATTTGAGAGAGAGAGAGAGTGGAGGGGGAGGTGCAGGGGGGAAGAGGGAGAGAATCTCAAGCAGGGTCGCGGCTGAGTGCAGAGCCTGAAGCAGGGCTCAGTCTCACGACCCTGAGACCATGACCTGAGCTGAAACCAAGACTCAGACACTTAACCAACTGAGCCACCCAGGCACCCCATATCTTAATTTGTATAAACAGCTTATTAGCTTATTTTGACTGTGGCATTGAACATGTCATACTTGTGGGGCTCATATCTTCTACTCATGTTATTTCCTGATTTAGTAGCTTATATCTCTATCATGATACTAGGAAAATGAATTCCTCCATTTTTTTTTAAACTCAGGTCCATTCAGACGTCCTTTGTTTTTACCTAGTGTTTTTGTCTATTCCAGGATCCACGTTACATTTAGTCACCGTGTCAGTGTGGGCTCCTCTGGGCTGTGACTGCTTCTCAGACTTTCCTTGCTCTCAATGACCTTGCCGATTTTGAAGAGTATCAGCTAGATGCTCTGTAGCATGTCTCTCAGTTGAGATTGTTTGTTTCTCATGATTAAGACTGGGGTGATGGGCCATGCGGAGGAGGGCCACAGAGAGGAAGTGCCATTCGTTCTTATCACATCAAGTCAAGGATGCTTACTATCAGCTTGACTTATCACCGTTGATATTGACTTTGACCATCTGGCTGAGGGCATGCTTGTCAGATTTCTCTGTTGCAAAGTTACCCTTTCCCCATTGAAGGAAGTCACTATGTACATCCCACACTTAGGGAGTGGGGTGTTATGCTTCAGCTCCATGAGAAAGGAGGATCTACCTAAATTATTTGGAATTCTTCTGTATGGGAGATTTTTCTTTTCTCTTGCATGTATTTATTCAATCACTGACTTACATCATTATAGACTCAAAGATATTTATTTTATATTTGAGGTTGAATCCACTGGTACTTAGCTTTGTGGCTTAAAATTTTCCAGCATTGATCATGAGGAGATCCTTCCATTGGTTCCTGGGTCCCTTGACATGCCCCCATCATTGTTGATTTTTTTTTTTTCTTTTTAGAGCGCTTCCTTACTTTCTGGCACTACAAGAAGCTCCAGGCTCATCTTTTATATCTCCTGCCCCCTGGAAAACATATCTTTGTCTCTCTGTGCTGCAGTCTGGCTGATTTCTTCAGCTCAAACTTCCTTTTTACTAATTCTTTCAAAAGAATTAGTATCTAGTGTTTCACCCATCCCCTGAGTTTTCAATTTCACTGACTATATTTTCACTTTGACATCCCATTTTTCTCAAATCTACCTATCATTTTGTCATAATGACCCATTCTTGTGAATTTTATTCCTTCCTTTTTTTTTTTAACACGCTAAAAAAAAATGTTTTTCAGATTACTCTACTATCTGGAGATCTTGAACTTTAAATTTTTGGTTTTGCTGCCCCAACTGAATCTCTTTCAATAGAGGATTGAAATTTTTATCTTTGGGCTCATTTTCAGGGAAATTATCTTTTCATGAGTTTCTGATGGCCTTTTGTGGAAGGGCCTCTAAGAGACAATTTCACATTTGCCTCTGGGATAGTCCTATTGGTTTCACTAGTTCCATTTTAATTTCTAGGTTGAGGAGTCCCTGCACTGAATGATTAATGAGAACATAGACTTAGGTTGGGGAGTTCCTACACTGAATGAATAATAAAAACAAAGAACCCAGAGCAAGTGACTCTTCCCCTCCACCCCCACCTGGAAATGTATTGACCTGTCCTAACTCATCCCTGAGCTGCTGGGCAGAGTTTTTTAATCCAGGCTTCCTAGACGGGGAAGGGATTGCTTTTCATAGCTTTTGACTATTTGCAGAGAGATGAGTTCCAAGTGTGGGCCTGGGTTTCATTTATTTCCCCTGAGAAGACATTAAACACCACCGCTGGGGCTGTATCTGATTCTGATAACCCATGAGCCAGATGACTTTGGCTCTAAATCAGAGATACGCATTCCTGCTTTGTATCTGTAAGCTTTGATTCTTGTTTTTGAACTCAGCTATTTATTTATTTCTTTATCCATTATTTTGTCCAACTTATCTGGCTGTTTATGGAGAAAAAAACCAGGTTTTTCTGCTTTAACTAACTCTATGATACGGATCAGAAGTCTCAAGGACCTAAGTCTTAATCATTTTTAATTCTCCAGAGTCTGGCACAGGGTCAAGGATTTTTATTTTATTTTATTTTATTTTTCCAATCAATGAAAGGGAAATTTATATTGAGGCCCCAGGGCCTTGGGGCTCAGGCAGGGGGCCACCCTGTGGACAAAGGAAGAGCTGGTGGAGTGGCCTTCTCTGACTTTCTTCTTGGGGCACAGGTTCTTGGTATGGCCATAATTCTTCTTGGGGCAGTTGACAGCGTGGGTAGGCAGAAGAGCATAACACTCGTGGCAGACCATCTAGCTGCAATTGTACTTCTGGGCAAGCTGGCAGAGGGAAGTTTCCTTGAGACCACCCTGCAGGTGAAATACCAAATGCAGGCTGGACTCTTCCTGGATATTGTAGTCTGAGAGTGAGGCCATCCTCCAGCAAAAATTAGACACTGCTGGTGAGGCAGGATGTCCTCCTTGTCTTGGATTTTGGCTTTGACTTTCTCAGTGGTGTCCGTGGGCTTGACTCGAGGGTGATGGTCTTGCCCATCAGGGTCTTTGCAAAGATGTGCATCTCTGCATCTGCCACAAGGCCACCACCACCAAACCACTCGGACACTTTTTGAAGAGAAAGAGGGGTCAAGTATGTTTTGAATGTTTGCTGCATGAATGATTTCAAGTTAAACTTAGGTCTCATGTTTGAGGTGTCTAGGAATGGTATTCATTAATTTATTCAAAAACATACATCAAGACTGACTACATATCAGGAGCTTTGCTAGCATCTTGGGAAAATCCATGAATAAGATAGTTTTCTTACCCTTGTGTAGCTCACAGTACCACGTGTACTGTAAATAAGTAAAAAGGCAATTGCAATTCAATGGGAAAGTGATGCTTTTTGAGTGGCATGGGTGCCTTGGAGTGCTCGAAAGATACACCTTTCCAGACTTGGGGAGTGAGGAAAGGCTTCCCGGAAGAGAAGGCATCTAAGCTGAGAAATGAAGAATGAGTTGGATTTACTCAGGAAAAAAGGCTGAGGGAAAGGTGGGGAAAAAAGGGTTCAGGTTGAAAAACCAGCATGTGCCAAGGTCCAAGGAAAAGAGAAACCATTGCATTTTCAAGGAACTGAAATGAATTTAGTTGGACTAGAACATAGAACTCAACAGCATAATGCCTAGGGGACAATGCCAAGAGTTGCCATAAAAAGGTAAGGAGGAACTGTGTGTTGAGACTCCTAGGCTTTACCTGTAGGACCCCAGAATTACCAAGAAGTTTGAAGCAGTGGAGTGACATGATTCCATCTGTTTTTTTAAAAAATCAGTCTGACTACAATTTGGAAAATGGTTTGGAGGGGAGGAAAGTGGAAGAGCAGAGACAAGTCAGGAGGTTCTTGAAGTAGTTCAAAGTAAGTAAGATGGCGGCCTTGGATAAAGGTGTAGCTTTGGAGGTAGAATCAGCAATGCTTGGTCACTGAGAGGATGTAGGCACGAGAGACAGGATGAGCCAGCTTCCCATCACCAAGACCAGTGCTTTCAGGAGGCCAAGTCTGGAGGCTGTGGTGCATGGAGATTGTAAGTAGAAAGAGAGAAGATACTACACACATGAACAGTGCTGTGACCAACAGATTCTACACTTCTGGGTCTCAGTGAGCTTTTGCATTATATTTAACATTTTATTAACTGATTCTTTCTCGTTTTTCAATTTGAATATTAGGAAGTTCAAAGGGAGGGGGTGGCTCTTGACCTTCTCTGTAGAAGGTTGTTGTTTTGAGGCAGCATGGCAGAGAGGGGTCAAGCCAATGTTTGCAAAGAACATGAGCTGTGGAGCCACTCAAGCCCCAGTCCCTGCTCTACCACCTAACAGCTCTGTAGATTGAGTATGTTTCTGTAAATTCACAGGGACTCGGTTTCTCATTGCTGACATGGAGATCACAATACTTGTCTAATATTAATGTGCATGAAAAAGTAAAGAGAATAATGTCTTGCACATGGAAGGTAGTTAGTAAATGGAAATACCTTTTAGCTTCTTGAAAGCTAAGTTGTTCTGAAATGGAACAAAATCATAAACCATTAGAGCCTAACTCTGGGGACTCACTCTAGTGGCTGAGCCAGCCCTAAGTTCTGGCCCCCTGATTCTGTATCCACCTCATATTTATGTATACCCAAGAGGAAGTCACGGAACCAGTGTGACTTAGTGTATGTCTGCCCAGAGTTGCTCTCTTAGAGTAGGTTCTCACAGTTTTATGGATTTTTGTGTCCTAAGCCAAGTGGAAGCATCCTTTCAATCGCTACCAGACCCTGAAGCAAGAGAGCTTCTTTGTGGATGAGAGGACCTCCCTCCGCATCCCCATGATGCACCAAAAGGAAATGCACAGGTTCTTCTATGACCAGGAAATGGCTTGCACTGTCCTCCAGATAGAATACAGTGGAAACGCACTGGCTCTGCTGATCCTACCTGACCCAGGGAAAATGGAGCAGGTAGAGGAAGCTCTGCAGCCAGAGACCCTGAAAAAATGGGATCAGTGGCTTCAGCCCAGGTAAGTGTCAGAGCAGAAGGACTCCAGCAGATGTGGTTCAAGAACCCAGGCAAGGCTTTGATCAATGCCAACTGCAAAAGCCCAACCCCTGGATTTGGTTCATCATTCTGCCCTTTAACTAACGATGTAGGTAACATGAGGCCATATTCACTGCCACATTGGGTTAGTTGGAGGATTGATCAGGTTGGCACACAGAAAGTTTTGAGATTGGTCACGGTAAGTGCTCACCAGGAGTTAATCATTCTTATCCTTTCCTGAGTGTTTTTCTGGTCAACCTTCTTTCCTCTTATTTCTCCCTTTTCCCAGAATAATTTACTACCAGAAGGTAGTGAAGCATAACCAAAAAAAAAAAAAAATCAGATTAAGGACAATTATCAAGAATAAATCTGACTCCCACATATTTCTTAAAAGAGCCCCGCTTTTTTTTTAGTTTATGTAAAAATGTGTTTGACCAAAATGTAGAAAAAGTGATACTATACCACATATGTTACAGCTGCAAGAATCTAAACAAAAAGTGTACATTTTATTCAGTTGCACAATTTGCTGGTCTACCTCCTGGGTAGTATGATGCTTAATAAGTAAAAGTGAGAAGCAAAGGATTTGGATAAACTGGAAGCAGGGTGATTTTTGTCAGAACTGTAAACCTGAGTTGGCCCCCACAGTGCTAGGGAATGTGGACTCTGAGATGTTGACCAGGAAAACAGAAATACAACAAAGCCAAAATGTGTAGCCTTGTTGACAAAATAGTCCATATCCAATTTAATCAGGAATTTCTTGGTCTTTTATTAACTTGGCCCTGAAGAAAGACTTAAAGCCCTAGTTAGGTAAATCTTCAATTTGCCATTCCCTGAAGTATAGAGGGGAGATAAACCTAGGCCAATTACTTTATCTCTGCCTTGCTGTCAGAGAGCGCCCCCTGCCCCACCCAATGTTTGGTTAATATTGCTCAATTATTGGTGGCTAGCAGTCTTTTTGATAGGGTTTCTCTGGAAAAAAAAAAGTGCCCCTATTTTAATGAAAACATTTCTTAAGGAAATTAAATACTGAGAAGAGTACTGTAAAAATCAAAGTGCTAGTTTTATGGGATCTCAACCTTTACCCCTTTTTATCTCACTTTTCAGTTTGTGGTTTTTCTTACAATGGTTTCAGTCTTTTCTGGTGTGCCTAGAGCCCATTTTCTAGCTACCTCCTTCGTGGGATCTACCTTGTTTTCTGAGAGTTCTGATATGAAATCTGACCTTGAGTTCTAATTACCTCTTGCTGCATAATAAACCAGCCCAAAATGGAATGGCTTGAAAAAAAAACTATCTATGATCTCTCTCCAACCAATGGGTAGACTGGGCTCAGCCTTGTGGTTCTCCCGTGGGGCTTTCCTGCATTGGAGTCAGATGCTGACCGGGCCTGCAGCATGGAAGTCTCCTCTACTGGATATCTGGTGCCTGGGCTAGCCAGGCGCTCAGATAAGGGCTGAGCAGGTGTCTCGCTCTCCCAGCAGCATCTCTGTGACACTAGGTTGGGCTCCTGTACAGTGGCTCAGCATAGTTGATGTTGTCATATGGCAGCTCAGGGCTCCAGGAAGGAGTATTCCAAAAGACAGGAAGTGAAAGTTCCTGCTCTTTTAAGATCTGAGCTCCAAAGTGTCTCTTTCCTTACGCTTTTGGTGAGAGCAGTCACAGAACCAACTCCGATTTGGAGGGAGGGGTATAGACCAAACCTCTTGATGGTCATCTTTCATCTTGAACCCACCCAGCAGCTGGTAGACACCAGTCGCCCTCATGCCCACAGGATCCTTCCCTCAGCTCCCCAGCCACACTGAGGGATAGAAGAGGTATTTGTGCTGGGGCAGAGATTCAAGTACCAAATAAAAGAGATATAAGTCAAGAACAGAGGTCAGGATAGGACACTATTCCTGTTGTCTGTGAACCTACATGGCTGTGGTCAGTTTCGGATTCCAATGCCATATTCTCAAGCACCTTTGGGGTGAGCCTGTCCCTTCCCCTTTCCCTTCCCCTAGCACAGGAGGAAGTACCATAGAATCTTCTAGACCGATAGATTTTCCCTCAAGAGGGTCTGGGGTTTTTTGGTTTTTGGTTTTTGTGTTTTGTTTTGTTTTTTAGTAGGCTCCATGCCCAGTGTGGAACCCAATGCAGGACTTGAACTCAGGACCCTGAGATCAAGACCTGAGCTGAGATCAAGAGTTGGACGGACACTTAACCAACTGAGCCACCCAGATGCCCCAGGAAGGTCTATTTTGACCTCTCACTTTGACCTTCAAAAAGCAAAATCCACCCAAGTTAGTTTTCGAAATCTCAGATGTCTCCTGTTACTGTTTCTCATGCCAGAGAGTTATAGTATCACAGCAGCATGTTAATGAGCTTTCAGACATGAAAAACTTCAGACTGCCAGGCCTCCCTCTGTTGAGCTGTGAGGAAGGTTCACTTGCCCAGGGGAGTCACGCTCCCAGGTAACTGTTCATTCTTCCTTTATGTGGGTTGAACACCTGCCGTGTGTGGGGCTCTCTAAAAGACCCCTGTGTTAGACTCCACTCTGACCACTCCATGGTTTGGGCCTGCCCCCAAAGGGCTGCCTGTGGAAAATTTATCAAGTGGGCCAAGATGGTCTTGTTTTCTGTTCTCCACATCCTTTCCGTCCTCTTCAGTGTTTGATCCCTGACTTCCAATGGCCTCTCCCTTCGATTAGACACCTGGACACTCACATTGTCCCAGAAGTTAACTGGCAACGAATCTCTAAGCTGATTTAGGCTCTCTAATCTGAATTCATTAGAGACAGAAGTTTCCAGGTGGGTTATTACTAGCCAGGGTCGCAGGGCCCCTGCCCTGACAACTGAGAAACAATAATCAAGAAGAACAATCCCAAGAAGAAAAGGACAGATTTGCTCAGTGTCAAAAAGAACTTGTGAATTTACTGCAGGCAGTGGTGCAGTGATCCGATGGCAAAGGCCGGTCTCAGGACAAAGAGTGGCCCACACTCAACACACACCATCTCTCAGCAGATCCTCACAATAGCCCAAAGCCCAGACAGTAAGAGCAGACAGTGGCTTGTAGTAGGGAGTTGCCAACAGAAGGATTTAGGATACAGTTCAGAAGGGAAGCCAGCAGAACCTGCCGATGAATCGGACGTGGAGGTGGGAAAATGTGGGCAATATTTCCCTTACATGGTTACTCCTTGGATCTGATCAGTTACGCCTCATAAAATCCCTTGCCTGATGTCTGGCATGGAGGAAGTCCTCCATAAACATGTGGGAGATGGAGACACATGGCCATGCCAAGAGTCTTCTCAGATCCAGAAGAGGGCTGAAGAGGTCACAAGAGGTCTGTAAGGTCTAAAGAGAAGGGGGTTCTAGGGTTCTGGAATGTTCTGGTACAGCAGGGAGTGTTGTGGTAAGACTGGTTCCCCTCCCTCTGGGAAACACTTTTCCTTCCCAAAGCTCAGGTTGCCCACAGACGGGGTGGGAGCAGCCCATTTAACCAGACAGCACCACCTTTCTGGCTGATTGTCTCTGCAGCCTGCTGGATTTACATCTGCCAAGGTTTTCCATTTCTGGGACATATAACCTTGAAGAAATACTTCCCCACATGGGTCTCACCAACATCTTCAACTTAGAAGCTGACTTATCGGGAATCACTGAGCAGCTCAACAAAACCATCTCCCGGGTAAGGTGGTGAATGTGGATGGCAGGGAGGGTCTTTTCTTCTTTGAAGTGTGCATTTAAAAGTCAAGTTTCCCTTTCTTTTTCCCATTCTGGGTCTTGATCACAAACTATAAGGCCTCTTTTCATGGGCAGCTCCCTTTCCACCTCTCCTCTGTATTCCTCAGAGCAGGGACACTGAGTCCTGAATAAAGTAGACATGCATTCGGGATCATCCATGGAGCCAAAATTTCTGCAGTATGGGATTAGCTTTGTCGTCATTCCTTATATTTCCCTCAGGGCAGGCAGTGAAACTCTGTCTTTGTTATAGTTATAGAGAGTAGTGAGGCACGGACAAAAAAATGTATCCGTCAGGCTTGCAACAGAGATTCAAGCATCCCCTGAATCTCAGAGCCTGAACAGGCTTATTTCCTGTTTATGTTACATGTCAGAAGTGTGTCACGACCACGGGGCTACTGATCTGCCTCACATTGCTTCTCCCTTCCAGGATGCAGGTGAAAGGAGAAGCCCCTATTTAAGACATGTCATTCACATAACAGTGGGAAAAAAGCAAGAGAAACTGTGTGATGGCTCTTCACATTTCTCTTCACTGTGGCCTATGCCAAGGCCACTTATGTGCCCCTGGCTAAAGCAAGTCCCATGGTCAAGATGGCCATCTGTGTTCTCCTCCTGTAGGAGGCATTGCCAGTCACGGGGTTTGGGTGGGGATCCATGACTCTCTACTAGGAAAGGAGAGTTAATAGCTGGGAATAACAATGTAATTTTCCTTCCCTGTTCTATCTTTTCTGTTTTAGGGTAGAGTCATTGATTATTGTTTGGAGCTTTGTTATGAATTTCTTTTTTTTTTTTTTTAAGATTGATTGATTTTAGGGGCGCCTGGGTGGCTCAGTCATTAAGCGTCTGCCTTCGGCTCAGGTCATGATCCCAGGGTCCTGGGATCCAGCCCCGCATCGGGCTCCCTGCTCCGCGGGAAGCCTGCTTCTCCCTCTCCCCCTCCCCCTGCTTGTGTTCCCTCTCCCGCTGTGTCTCTCTCTGTCAAATAAATAAAATCTTTAAAAAAAGAAAAAAAAGATTGATTTTAGAGAGACGAGAGAGAGCACAGGGGGAAGGGGCAGGGGCAGAGGGAGATGGAGAGAGAATCCCAAGCCGACTGGGGATCAAGCCCCCCATAGGGCTCCGCAGGGCTTGATCTCATGACCCCGAGATCACAACCTGAGCCAAAACCAAGAGTCGGTTGCTCAACCAACTGCGCCACCCAGGCGCCCCTTTGCTAAGAATTACATAAGGAAAGTTTTTGTCTTTTGCTTGGGAAAGGCCAGCTGAGATTAGGAGTGTGAACCAAGGGAAATAAGGACGCGGTCCTGTGTGTGAATGTGAGTGCGTGTGTGCACGTGCTTGTGTGTGCACACCCATGGTGGAGAGGATGAACAAGAAGGAAAAGAAATAACTTAACCTTTTAAAGAATTACTTTTGCAGTGACCTTAAACGCCCGGTGTATATCTTCATAGAACTTTTTAGAAAGGAAAAGGATTGTCAAGTTGAAAAATGTTTCAACTCTTTTTTAAAGCCTCCGAATCCTTTCTTCCTAAAAAGGTGTGTGAAGATGAGAGTTTAAAAAAAGGAATTCTGGAGGGGGGCGGGGGGCTGGGGCAACTGGGTGACGGGCATTAAGGAGGGCACATGATGGAATGAGCCCGGGGTGTTGTATGCAACGGATGGATCACTGACCTCTACCGCTGGAACTAATGATACACTCTGTTAATTAATTGAATTTAAATGAAGCAATTAAACTTAAAATAAAAAAAGGAATTCTCACAGAACCTGGTAGAGGGTTTGGCACATCAGACAACCCAGTTCCCTGGACTCATGTTAAAAACTGTTGATTTAGGCTGAGCAGGTCATTTTCAAGAAAAGGCCAGCAAGGCTTAGAGATGTGCGTGCAGCTCGGAGCAGAGGCTGGTGCTCGGCCTGCGGTCCCGGGGCCCAGGCGTTTCGGGCGCGCTCCTAAAACTTGCCGTTGGGAGTTTGCAGCCTGGTTCCTGCGTGGCCCTGCTCAGGCTCATCTGTGTTCCGCCACAGAGCAAACAGCACTGTCAAGGCCATCCTCCAGATGTGGTGGGGAGGGGGAGAAAACACAGGGAAGAAGCAGAGGCAATGAAGGCTGGGGGGGTTGCCTCCTGGGAAGACGGGGCCCGTGGGGCCTGAGAGGGTGACTCTGTCTGCAGCTCCCTAGAACCACACAGGTGGGATCTGTCCCCTGAGAGCACCCTGAACTGACGCTGTTTCTGTCCCCGTCTCCCCCTCCAGGTGTCACACAAGGCGGCCGTGGACATGAATGTGTGGGGAACCAGGGCAGGGGTTGCCTCCGGCCTCCTCTCCCAGCCCCGGGCTCTGAACACAACGTCGGCCCCACAGGCCCGTTTCAACAGGCCTTTCCTGGTGCTCCTGTGGGAGGTGACCACTCAGAGCTTGCTCTTCCTGGGCAAAGTCGTCAACCCGGCTGCAGGGTGACCGTGGTGGGAGGCCACGTGATGGCTTGTCTCCCCCTCCCCCGGAACAATCAGGAAGGCCAGCACCAGCCTGCACCATGGGCTGCTGTGAGGACCAGTTGATCAGTGTGCAAAGATCCTAATAAAGTTGACCTTGGGTTGTGTGAACATTGAGGCGCAGTGTTTACAAGGGAAGGTCAACGCACAGAGCAGCTTTGAGCCCTTGGCTCTACAATCTCATCGAACCCAACATCAACTGTGATTAGAAAGTCAAAAACAGAAACAGCCTCATGTCGTGGCCTCCCGGGAGATGTCTGCCACTGCTGATCTTTCCTGAGGGTCCCAGGAAAAGGCACAAGGGACATCGGGAGGAATAAGCAACTTTCTACCTTCATCCTGACTAATCTCGGCAGTACAGTGAAGGGAGGCCATCCTGAAATGTCATGGCCCAGATGTCAGGGACTAGATCACCGTCAGAGGAGATTGGGACCAGGGCCGGGGCTCCAAATCATGCTCTAGGAGAAGAAGGGGGTGTGATAATGGGCCAAGGTAGCATGGGAGGTCAAATGGCCAAGGGCAATCCCAAGATCAAAGAAAGTGTGAGGGTCCACGTGGCCAGGTGGGCACAAACTTGGTCAGTGGGATGAATCTGGGGGCAATATTCAGTTGCAATAGGGCGTCTTTAGCAGTTGGAGTCCCTACCCCTACAAGTGTGTCCCTCCAGTCTCAAGGAGGCATCCATCTGCCCAAATCTAACGGGGAAACACAATACGATGCCGACTTCTCTGCATGTATGTGTCATGCGTGTGGAAATACCCGTCCCCACAATGAAGTTAGTGCCAAGACCTAGAGGGTGGCTGTGGGTGGTGTGTGTCTAGGAAGGAGTCATCCCAAAAGGTGCCCTTGGAAGAAACACTCATACACACCCTAAGGAGGTCATCCTGGAGTTGGATCCTAAAAACCAGGTAGGTCTTAAATAAAAGATAAAAGAGTAAGACGGTCTCAGGGAGAGTAGAGGAGACCCTCTGTGGGCAAGGGCCAGTGAGGAAAGAAAGGAAAAGGTATGTTCTGATAAAAAAGAGAGAGAAAAACCCAGTTTTGCAGTAATAGAGGGTTCGCATAGGATCACAGTGGAAGGTAATGCGGGAGAGGTATTTGGAGGTAAAAGGTTGGAGGCTTTGGATGCTAGATAAGTGGTTTAGACGTTGCCCTGTAGACAGGGCGGAGCAGTTGTATGCAGCGAGCAGATGTGGATGTGTGTGACTGGGAAAATCATCTGACGGCTGGGCGGAGATAAGACCCAGTGTGGTGAGGCCAGAGTGAGGGGCCAGCCAGGAAGGCGCCACACTGTAAGGCCTACCCCACCACATGCCCTGTCCTGGCCCGTCCCATATCCCTTCTCTGTGAGACCACCTGCACCCACAGTCCTCTGTCCCAGCCCACCCCCTGTGGCCCTCGGCACCTCCCCATCCCATCCTCCCTGCCTGTTGGTCCTGCGGACACCACTTCTCATATTTGAAAGGAAGGAACCCCAGAAAGCCCACCCCGTGCCCTGGACAACCTGACACATGCAATTCCTTTCTGTTGCTTTGGACTAGATATTGAGTAATAGCTAGGCTCAAACGCTTGAAGAGCTGCCAAAACTCTCTCCAACTGTGGGTTTGGCTCCTGCAGAAATAAATGACTGATTTTCCTGGGGCCATGCATGTCAGAGATATTAAAGGAAGAGGTTCCTGCATTGAACATTTTTTATTGGGTCAGGCATTCTGGAAGATTCTGAGTGAGGGAGGGAACCCGACAATATGGGTCCCATGCCATGGGGCTCACACAACTGTAGACTTGTAGGGCAGATGGACATTGAACAAGAACTTATATTAAAGAGTGTGGACAGCCATTGCTCTTGGACGCATGCATTCACTGCTTCAACCCAGATTTACCGAACACCTACTGTGTGCCAGGCGCTAGTAGTTAGGCAATGGGAATAGAGCAGTGGACAAAGCAAACAGTAAGCCCAGCTCACAGGGCTTACATTCTAGTGGGGCAAAACAGGCAAATGTTTGCTCCAGTGCCTCATGCCAAATGTGACTGGGGATCCAACCTGCTCTGCCTGTCCACATAGGAAAGAAAGCCCTCCCCCCAAGTTAGAGGAAGGGATGCGCAAAGCCTGCTTGAACGGCTCCACCCTGGACCTCCTTACCATTGGATCTATACAGAAGTGTTAGAAAGTAGGTGTGATAGCCCAGCCTTCTCCTTGTGGACAGAGAGCCAAAGATGAGAGCACGTCCTTTAATTGATGTTTTAACCCACGGGGTCTGCATGCGTGGGCAAAGTTCCCAGTCCAAGTCCCGAATTCAGCTTGTGGGCCACAAGTTTGAAGTATTATAAAACATTCAAGCTATTAACTATTTAAATAATACCAGGATAGCCTGGGCTGAGAAGTCCATTGACCTCAGTCCCAAACAGAGTAAGATGAGCAGGGCAACATGGACTCTTTTTTGCATCCCTGCCCGATACCTTCATCAGCACCATGTTTGAGAGGGGCGCTCCAATGTTTCTCAAATTAATTGGGATCCCTCAAATAATGGTTACCTTCAGCCTACATTTTATGACCCACTATTCACATGGAAAGAGGCAATGAGAGAAAAAGATGTTGATCCCACACCCACTGCCCCATCACCAAAGGCTGGCCCCACACCCTACTGGTTACAGGGGGTCCTCGATGCACCCTAGAAGCAGGTCAGTGCCCCCTATTCTCCCTTGAGGCTGGACTCAGGAGTTATGCGAGGGGAGAGGTGCCAGATAAAATACAGGATGTCCAGCTAAACTTGAATTTTAACAAATAATCTTTTAGTGTAAGTGTATATTTGGGATATACTTATACTAAAAAGATATGTTGTTGTTGTGTATGTAATATTCAAATTACTTGAACAGGTTGTCCTATATTTTTACTTGTGAAATCTGGCAAGCCAGGGAGGGGTGTCTATGCTCAACACTCGTGAGAGGGTCAGAAGGAAAGAAAATTCATTAAGCTGAAGGCAGGCTAGCCTGGGCATCAGGGTAGAAAAAGCAATGGGTTTGGTTAAAAGAGGATTCGGAGGAGAGAGAGCTGTGAAGTGGAGCCGGCTCAGCACGCCGTGTCTGCTGTGTGAGCGAATCCAGACTAGTCGGCTGACGGATGGGAGACGCCTGGCTCAGGGCTGATATCCAGCCTACGGCAAAACTGTGAGGGAGGCCAACCTAGACCAGCAGCGCAGCTGACTGCAGATGCTGAGCCGTGCCAAGGTCAGCCCAGCTTGGCCCAGGCCCGAACTGCGCGGCTGAGCTGCAGGATCATGAGCTAACTTCTGGTGGCTTGTAGTACAGCATAGGTAACCAATGCAAAGGGGGAAGTGTGTGGGGGGATGGGACCTGGGAATTCCAGACGGAGAAGACTATATGATAGAACACCCAAATTTTCTGAGTCCTCTCCGGCCCTCTCTTCCAAGACTGACGCAGAAAGTACCTGCTCATGTTCCTCACCTCGGGGATCTGCCAGCCCTCGAGGGCCAACTGAGCTTGGGATAGAACTTGATTCAAGGGCAATGCTCCATTGGCTGACCGTGCATGAGTTGCATGGCCTGGACCAATCACATCCTTTCTGGCAATTTGTCAGAGTGCTGTGGGGTTAGATCTGAAAAGTCATGGTCAGTGACAGAAGGCCACATAAGAAATGGAGAAGCAGAGGATATTTAGAAGTACACATGCGCAGACAGACTCAGAGTGGCCCGAGAGAGAAGGTCCCTTCTCGTGCTTGGCCCTGGCACCAGGAATTTGCTGGTGATCTCTGGGTCTAAAGAGCCACAGACCCCAGCGCCAGTATCTTCTCTCCTGCGTGGGCTCTGTGTCAATGCCGGAAATCCTTCCAGTTGTTTTCCCTGCACTGACGGACGTACCGCCTCTGCAGTATCCCCATTACCATGGGGTTACCTACCTGACCAAGACTAGGTCCCTGCTTCCAAAATTCTGCTTCATAAAGAATTCAGGGTTATGGATTGAATATAGTTGATGAGAGGCCCCGTCACATCCTTAATAACAGAATCACAAATTTGGAAGGACGTCGGTGAAATCAATTAAACTCAACTTAAAAATATGTTTTGAATTCCTAGTGTGCGTAAACAGTGTTCATTCATTCACTGATGCCAGGTGGTGCTCAAGGAGAGAACAAAATAGGACCACTGTTGTCATCTTCCTGAAAGCGATCATGTGACACACAAGTCCCTCAGGGGGCTCTATGAAAAGCTTAGATTTTCAGTGCATAATCATGTCAAAGGCACGGAAAAGTCCTGCAGGACAAACATGCTTTGCTTTGTTTAATCTAGTGTTTATCAAGTTCTTATAAAACTTCTTAGCACCCCATTGATTCGGTGCTCTGTGTGACCCACTCTAAGGAGCCGCGCTCCATGCCCTGCATTGTGCCTGCATCTAGAGCCCTTTCTTCCTTCTTCCCCCCACCCCTTTTATTAAAGAAGCACCTGAGGCCAAAAGACAAAGTTGTCCTGCCCAAGGTCATCCAGTCCCTGGACGAAGTCTGGTGCCCCACCAGTACTAGGCAGCATTAGAAACACTGAGCCTGTATATACGAAAACTAGTACAGCAACCACCGGTGCCCAGCATGAAGTCAAAGGTACTGGTTTGCGATATTATGGGGGTTGAGAGGCAGGTGAGAGAAACCTCCGGGTTGAAGAAGAAGTGACACCAAAGAGGGACAGAGACTCTTCCCAGGGAGGTTCAGCTCTGCACCTGGCCAGACCCCTGTGCACGCGCTCTGGGAGGCTCTGCCCCCGGGGACACAGAGGCAGGGCCCCAGGGGCAGGGGGCGCCCTAGAGCCAGAGGACTGGGAGGGAAGCACAAGGCACGGTCACAAGTCCACTGCCGCTGAGGGATGGAGTGAGCGCCCCATCGCGGCCACCATCACTGAGCCTCGCTGTCGGTGCCTGCAGCCCTCCACGTGCTGCAGGAGACACCATCTTTGGCTCAGATGCCTCCACCCACTGCCAGGACCCCCTCTCTGGGGTCAACCCCCCCAGGATGGGGCCTGAGTCTCCGAGGCTGGGAATGCTCAGGAAAGCTCCCTCCGGGCCTCATGCGTGAAAGAAACCAGAGCGATCCCGATGCATGGGTCAATGTC